ATAAATTTAGTAAATAATTTTGGTTTTCTATAATCATTCAGATTTTTTTTACTATCTTTACGGTTTATAAATGCAACAGTTGAAAATATTTACTCAATGGCATAATTTTGCAGTTTTATTTCAACCTCATATTGAGCCTGTACGTATTTTCAAACATAAATAACTTATGAAACACATGGCCTATTTTTGGATAATATTTTTCTCTTATTATTTATAAAAGAATTATTTATTAATTTTACAATCTGTCAAATATTACAGAATATATCTCAAGAAATAATAAGAAATAATCGAAATGATCTGAATGTTTGCATATTAAAAGAGCAAGTTTATCCAAAAACAAACCTACTTTTTTCGTTGACTTTATTTGATAGAAAATTTTACTTATGGATGGAATTTTCAGACATTTTGAGTCAAAAATACAAATAATAACGCCTAAGTAAAATTTGCTTCGACTTAAGATCACGTTTACCTATTTTTTTATGAATTAATGAATTTATTTTATTTTAATCATTACATTAGAAAATTGTCTGTGCAAGATATGGACTTTTGGTAACTAGTATTATTGATGTTTTATTTTTTATATATAAATATTTAAAGTTCGGTAATTTTTAGAATATAAATATGACAGAATATAACTTAGTCAAAACTTTATAAAATGATTTTATGACTTTATATACTTTTATTCTTGTAAAAGATTTTATTACATATCTCATAATTATGCGTTTTTTTCAAATAGCATTTAATTCAGTAATTTTGTTTTGATAATATGTTTTAAAAATCAAATTATGATTTTTTTAAAATCTAAATTATTAGTATGAAACTTTCTACCAATTTACATAATTTTTAAGTATTTTTATACGAGGTCTGTTCAAAAAGTACCCGGAATTACTAATAATTAAATTTCGCGGGTCTGGAGTGTCTGATTGTCAAAATTTTTTTTTTATTGTGTTGGTATACATGCCCCTAAAGTTTGATGAAATTTTCAGCTATATTCACTGTTTACTTTGTCTGTGGTAGTCGCTAAGGTTCGACGTGTTTTTCTGAGCTCGGCGATTTTTACAATGGAAGAATTGAAAAGTCAAAGAATTTGTATTAAATTTTGCGTAAAAAATGAAATAAAGTGTTGCAAAGTGCAAAAATTCACCAGATATGGCTCCGTGTGACTTTTTCCTATTCCCAAAGTTGAAGAGACCCATGAAAGGACGGCGGTTTTCCTCGATTGAAGAAAATCGCTGAGAGTGCTCAAGGACATATCAAAAAGTGAATATCAAGGGTGCTTCGAAAATTGGAAAAAACGCTGGCATAAGTGTATTATATCTGGGGGGGACTACTTTGAAGGGGACCACATTAATGTAGACGAATAAATAAATATTTTTTTGAAAAAACGAAAATTCCGGGTACTTTTTGAACAGACCTCGTATATGATTTTTTGTGATAGTTTCTATATAGTCCTTGCTTGTTCAATAAGAACTATTTGTGGGAAACTTTCGGATAATTTTCATTAAAAATCATTTTTCTTTAAGCAAAATTAATTTGCAGAATTCATATTAGTCCTTGAATTTTCTTTGTAAGAAAATTATTAATAAATTATAAATTAATTTAAATATATTAATTTATTATGTATGTTCTCATTTTCAATTTTGACTATAAATATTTTCAACCTAAACCAACTATAAATTTACAAATATGATTTTCATTAATATTAATTTACCAAGTATTTTCATTAATAATTTATTTATTAAAGTACGTTGCCATTATTAATCTATGAGTTTTTATCTAATGATAAATATCACATTAAAATTTTATTACCTAAAAATTTATAAAATTATATTCCAAACGCTTTGGACAATAAATTTGGATAATGGTTTGATTTTTTTTAAATTTCTTAAGTCTAATTAATTTATATTAATTAATATCATATACCTTAGTACATAAAATTATTTTTTACTATAGTATACACATTTTTGATCATAATTACATATGATCACACTCAATAAATGCAATATTTTAAAAACACAAATAAAAAAGGGAAAAATTTATGGAATTAAAATTTAGGCGAAACCTTCTTTGTTTATAAAATATTAATATACAAAATTTTTATGATATAAGAAAATTTTGATTTTTCTAATTATTTTTTTTATTTCGTGGGGCTTATTATTTCTCTGAACAAAATTTGTAAGAGAAACCTTAATTTATGGGTACCTTAATACAAATTTAGATAATTAAATTGTTTTTATTTTATTAAAGAAAAAACTGGGATGTGGAGTAAAGTTGCTTAAGTCGTACCTTAATGAAATAATGCTATTACATTTAATGTAATTAATTTAAAAGAAAAATCTTAGAAAGAAATTTTGGCTTGTTGGATTTGTATTTAGTTGGCTTATTAGTAACAATTACTGTAATTTCCTGATTTTTTTTTTATGGAAATAGATAATTTTGATTAATTATTAGGTTATTCAAGGGACTAGTCGCCTTAGTCGTACCCACGACTAAAAAACTATATAGTATTTAGTCCAAATCAATTTAGTTTGTAGAAAAAGTTTCTTAACATTTTGTCATACCTTAGAAAAAATTGATGTATGTGCGGATACATCTTTTCCTTGGCGATTTCGAGAGCACGGATCAACCGAATTGAATGATTCCTATTGATAAGAGATGTGATGATTAGTTTTTATCAAAGGCTAGTCTAATCATTTTGGAGATACGGGGCAAAAAGTGCAAAAAAATGTAATTCAGTTTTGAAGAGAACGGAGCGTCCGATTTGAATGATTCATAAAATATTTTATTTGTATTGACAAAGTGAAGAACTGATTAATTTTTTGGGAAGGCAGGTTTAGCGGTTTCGGAAATCGAGTGAAAAAGTTAACTAGTATAGTATCGTGCTTCAAGGCAAATTGCTGGAACTTCCCGTACCAAAAATTAAATCTTTTAAAAAAGATTAATTTTTTTTAAGCTTTGAAAAAATTAGATTTTGCAAAATTTTTAATTTGGGAAAAAGTTGACTTTTTTGGCAAAAAATACTTTCAAAAACCTTTTTTTCTTTTTAAATATTTTAGAAATTTAGATTTATTCAAAGCAATTTTTAGCTGTATAGACACGAAATATTGAAGCGCGTAAGCGCCGTGTCTTAGTCTATCGTTTTCTTGCGATTACTATAACTCTACGGAAAGTTAAGAAAAATGCAATTTGGCGGTCAAAATGATCATTAGACATATGCACATCAAATTATCAGATTTTTTATAGAGATCTTAATAATAAGTATACATTTTCCTTACATTCCTATGAGTTCCGTATCAATGGTTATCTGTTAGACCGCGACGCGGCGCTTAAGCGCTTTGATATTTCGTCTCTAAAACAACAAAGCAGCGCGATTGCTTCAGCAAACAGTTCAAAATATTAAAAAAAACTCAAAACTAAAAAAAATAGAATGTTTAAAAAGTCATTTTTTTACATTTCAAAATATTCAAACCCCTAATTTTTTCAAAAAAATAATAATATAAGTTCCAGCAATTTAATCCACCAAGGTAATTTTTTTTCACTAAGTCCAACTAAATTATCGACATCACATGATGTATTTTTTAAATTATGAAACTTTTAATATTTAAATTATTACACAGTGGTACGACTTAAGCAACCTTATTTCATTAATGTTGTGTCAAAATCTTCAATAATATTCTTTTGTCCAAGGCTTTTCATCAAGTCCAATATAAATATTTTAATTAATATAAAATTCATGTTTTATCCTCGTAAATTGTATTTATTACTTTGTATTAAGTTGACAACTAAGTAAGTGCGGTTTTCCCTCATATTGTTAGATGGTTTCAATTGAATTTTTGGGTTTACTGACGTAGTCCAAATATAAAACATCTTTTTGTTATTGAATAGTAGCCAAATTAGTAAAACGGAGTTTTTGAAGAAAAACTTTTTTAGGCGCGAATAGGGTGTAAATCCGTAGAAATGCAACGGAAGTCCGTTACTTCCGAACCTTTCGTCATTCGCTCTCGATAAGATCATTTCTAACGGGTCGATTGTGATTAGTCGTCGTGTATGTGAATAGAGATCTATCGTTGTATGGTACCGATATCAACAAGACAATCGGCATAGATAAATAAACATTTTAAAGTTACATCGTAGTACAAATCTTGATTTAATGAAAAATGCCTGAATCAGAAGAATATTTTCTTGAAAATAATAAAACAAATTAAACATTTGGGCCGTGTACTTAACGTAAGTTTATTGATTAGAAATTATTTCTATAATATTCGTAGTTTCTATAAATTATTGAAGTTATTATAATGGAAAATATTTTTAGGCAAGAATATTATACAGCTATTCAAAAATGAGATTATAACGCCAGCGAAAAAGTAAAAAAAAAAATACAAGCAGTAAATGAATGTATGTTAATTTTAATTACATGAAGTTCTTCAAACACAATTATAACATGACGATGAGTAAAAATGTGAAAACAATGTTTTTAGCATAATCAGAAATTACTTAATTTCTCTAATGAAGATTCAAGTCGTAAATGCTAATTACAATGGCAAACCGATCATGTCATATTTGACGTATGACTTTAATTACATTATCGTTATCATAAAAAACAGCAGTGTAAAAATTGGTTTGATCCGTAATTACTCAGTTGCCAACCTGATGCATACCGCACAATCATAACTCTAATGATCACATCATCATCAACTCATACAAAAAATCCCCAGGACTAGCATTGCCTCGCCAAAACATCTTACAATCTAACAATAAATTATCCCATATCAAATAAATCGAAATAAATCCTTAAACAAATACATTTATTACAAATCAATCCTCTATCCTCTATCCCTTCACAAATAGTACATGACCCTTTTAGATTTCTGCGTCTTCTCAGGCGTGCTCCTCGAATAATCAACGTCGTATCTATCGACGGCTGATCATAAATTATAATTATCTATAGTTTCGTAATAATCTATAAATCCTACTTATCTCAATCTCTATCCTCTATCCCTTCACAAATAGTACATGACCCTTTTAGATTTCTGCGTCTTCTCAGGCGTGCTCCTCGAATAATCGACGTCGTATCTATCGACAGCCGATGTTAAATTATAATTATCTATAGTTTCGTAATAGTTGTCCTCGCTGTAGCCATCTCCGATGTGGTGGTTCCAGTCCAATTTGGCGCCTTCGCCGGAACCCGAATTCGGTTTTAGGCCGAAATGTTCGACGGATTCGTAGGGGTTCTCGTTGGCCGAGTAGCCGTGATCCGATATGAAGTGGCGGGTGCCACTGGGCGTGAGGGCTGTCCAGAGGACTCTGTTTTCTGGATCCTGGGGGGATAAAGAAAACATAGATAAATTTTTTATTTTATACCTTTGAGGTTATTACTGAAATGGAAAATATTTTTATAAAAATATTTAAATATTTAAACAAACAAGCAGCCAATAATGAAGTTCTACAAACACAATTACATGATGAGTGAAATTGTGGAAACAATATTTCTTCATTGGAAATTTAACTAGATTTACATGTTTCTCTTTTATGATGGCTATGGAGACTAATTTTAATTTAGTCTTGAAAGATCAAGATTACATCGTCAAACAAACCAACTGCAGGAAAATAATCGGTTACTGCCAATTTATTAGAAAATCTTAAGCAAGATATCAATTAAGATGTGAATGTCAACACCAGTGAAATAAGTAAGAATCTCTTTTTGCTATTTAATCCTGAAAAACGCTTCAACTATTCATATTCAAACATATTATTTTCTGTTATCTTTTTAGATGAAAGTACTGCTGTTACTTTTTCTGATACAGCAACTACATCACGTCAATTGCAAATTAATGATTCTGTATATAATGTGAAAAACAATTTACAAATGATAGCTTTGGCTATGTATGTTTTGTGTGTGATCGACTTTGGTTTTAAAGTGACTTAGAAATATCAAATGATGCTCAAAAACAAATTCCTAATAATGTTTTTATGAATATTGATTCAAATAATCAGGTCGGATGTCAAACTTGTCGAAAGATATTAAATTCGGGTAAAATTCGGGTGAAATTCTCACTTTGTGTAAATTTAACGGTTTTGTATTTCCACCTATACCAAATTATCTACCTAGACTAGATACTGTATCTGAAAGGTTAATTTCACCTAGGTTGTGTTTCATGCAAATTAGACGATTGAGACATGCAAATGGGCAATTTGGAATATTTGGACAAATTATAAATGTGCCTGTTGACGTTGATAATATGGTTAATTTATTACCTCGTAATATTGATCATGATTATTGAATTAACGTTCACATAAAAAAGAAAATGATTCATAGATCAAGCTATGTGCAGGGCTTGATAAATAAGACAAATATAAAAGTATGGCTTCAATTTTTTAGGCAAGACAGATATTACAGCTGTTCAAGGAATGAGATTATATCGTCAGCGAAAAAGTAAAAATTTGCAAACAGTTAATGAATGTATGTTAATTTTAATTACATGAAGTTCTTCAAACACAATTGTTACATGATGAGTGAAGTTACGAAAACAATATTTGTTTAGGCGTTGTTTAACATAATCCATTGTGTGAACGAATATTATAGAATTTATTAATCAGCAATTACTTTAAACCGTCCCGTATCTTCTAAAAGGCTGGACCTGCCTTTGCCAAAAACTAATCAGCACAAGGCAAAGACAGGTCCAGCCGTTTCGAAGATACTAGGCAAAAAGTGCCAAAAACGGTAATTCAGTTTTTGAGAGGACGGATTTGAATGATTCGGAAAACATTTTACTTCTATTGACGAAATGAAGGATTGGTGAAGTTTTTGGTTTTTTTGTTCAGTTCTAGCGGTTTCGGAGATACAGAGGAAAAAGTAAAAAAATATATATTTGGCGGTCAAAAATGATCATTAGACATATTCATTCAATCATTTCGGAAGTGCATAGCTAAATGCGTAAAAAATGGCAGTTTTTGAGAGAACTAAGCATCAAAAAACTTTCTGCTTGTGTTGGCCAAACAATTGCTTAGGGGCAAAAAAGCTAATTTTTATATCGAGAATGATTCGGATTATGTCTATCGATCACTTATATACTTTAAATAAATAATTTTAACTTTGCAATTCAGTTTATATAATTCTTATAAATATTAGACAAATAGACAATGTTCTTTATTCTAAATTTGATTGAATAAGTTATGTTCATTTACTTTTCTATAATACATATCGAAACATCTTCGTTCAATTCATAAGCTTTTATATTTTGTCTATAAAATACGAAAAATAAATATCCTAATGTCTATTTGAAAACATTTAATATTCCTCAAATATTCTTTTGCGGGAAGTTTCAGCAATTTGCATTTATTTTTTATTTATAAAAAATTGTAAAAATGTTTTTGGAGCTTGCCAACTTGCTAAATGATGGCACACATACAGTCTCGAAACGTAGGTGATGACAATAACTGCATCGAACAACACAATTTCGAATAATAAAAAAATTGAAAAAATCTAATATATTTGTTAGAAACGTTTTCTACCTGTTAGCTCACCAACTTGCTAAATGATGACACACATACAGTGTCGAAACGTACATAATAACAAAAATTGCATTGAATAACCCTTGTTCACGATAAAAAGTTTCCTTCAAATATACAAAATTTATTTTAATGTTGATTGATTCACAATCCAACGGCAAGAGAGATTATTTTACATATTTTTACATTAACAAAAATTTAAAATGGCGGATACATGTTTATGATAGTAGAAAGCACCATTACCAACATTAGTAGTAATAATGGCGGGACTTTTGAATTACAAATGTATTATAACATTACATTTAACATCATAACATGTTATTACATAAAAAATGTGACAAAGAATTTTGTCCAACACTGTTTCTAATAACGGAAAGTTTGGTGCAATCTAACGTTTTTCTACTTTCTACCTATATAAGAGTCATCGTCATGATGGTTACCTGTAAAACATTACTTCCCGACGAAGAGCTTCCGCCGCACGGATACAATGAGGAGGACTCCTCGGCGGATATCAAAGGGCGGTCCTTCATTGAAGAGCCGTTCGAAGTCAGAGGGGCGCGCTTGTTCGAACCGCCGTCCACGTACTGTATCGTAAAGGCCCTGCGAAAAATATAAATAAATAGATATATGCATTTCCAAATGATTGAAACTTCTTTGTTCGGCGTTGAAATAAATTTTCGAAATGTGAAAATAAAATTGCTATAATTTGCTTTCAAGCAAGGTGGTAATGGTAATATAAACACTAAATCAAATTACATATATATTTATTAAAAAATGTAAAAAAACATAGAGATTGTAGAATGCATGTAAAAGATAGTGTCTCTAACCTAAACAATCCCGAGAGGAAACTGTAGATTTCATAGAGATATTTGAAGAAAATACATGCTCTTAAACGCAAAGATTGCACCTTAGTATATATGGGGCAAAGCCGACAATATTTATATTGATGAAACAACAAAAACTTAGTGTTTTTTAGAACAAACAAAGCGCTCTTGTCCAAAATTATGTTGAAAATTTCTATTCTTCTAATTACAATCCGAACACATATTTTTAACCGAAAAAGGTGCACTTTCAAGAATTTTTTTGCAGAAATCTGTCTTTTTTTAACTTTACCTATAGATACAGTGATAGCATAGGATCTTATCATAACTATTTTCATATTTCAATTTCCAACATTTTTACCAAATAATTGAGCTTTGTTTTTTATTCGGATATTTTTTTACAAGCCATTAAATTATTTTGCTGCTTATTATTTACCATTTATTTTTTGATATATAATTTTTAATACATTAGTTTGATTTGTTTTTCTTTTAGTCATATTGTTGACAGATGTTCTAAAGATAAAATGTTCGTAGTTCGGAAGCGTTTTTTTTATAGTAGTCTGTATTAAAGTATGATAGTAAGTTATAAAAGTTTTCTACTTACATTCTGAATTTCAATAAAAATATTGCTAGTAGAGTTCCTAACAAAAGCACTCCGAAACCTGATGATACTGCTATCAGTAGCCACGAATGTTGAATTACTGGTAAATCTGAAAATAAACACAACGATTAGGTCAAATTTCTATAAATGGACGAATTAATCCTAATTTATGTGCTTTTTTAATTAAGTTGATGATATGATTAAAATTCATACAAAGATACGCTAAATTAATTTTTAACAAATAACATAGGAGTTGTTTTAAATATTGTTAACATTTACATATGTAATAAGTTTAGATTGTTATAAATTTGTGCCTTGTGAATAATTTATTATGAAAACTAATCATAATGAAAAATTGCATTGTTGACTTATTTGATTTGGGTTTATAAAAATTAAAAAATATTATAAACTTCGATATGAAATTCAATTTAGTCAATATCAGATTTTGCGTTATTTATCATGTTTTTTATACATTCGCATATATTTTGTATATATATAATTCTATTTAACATATTTGTATGAATTTATTATAAGAACACTTTCTTATGATTTCATAGTTAAACTTTGATGTAATTTTTGTGTGTCTGATCTAACTGCAGTAAAAAAATCTGTTAAATTTTATATAAATTGCATTTCTCATTTTTATTATTCAGCTGTAAATCAATTATATTTTCTCACTCTAAAGAAATGATGAATTTCAGTTTTATTGTCGCTAATATTATAGATATTATTATTTATTCTAAGGACATTTACTTTAATTAGACAATTTTGGAGAAATTTTAGTTATTGCGAATTCTTGCCATAAACTAATAAAATAATGTAATTTAATAAAAATCTGATCTAAAATTCAAATTTTTATGTAAATTGATATATATTACTAGAACTGTCGTCTTGACTCATGATCGAAATTTATGTTTTATGATGGTCATAAAATGATAAGTTATTTTTCGTTCATATTTTCTTTAATTTTTTGTAGTTTATTGCCATCTGTAAATTAACTTGGACAAACATACAAATTTTTATCGAAAATGGACCGGCCGTTTAGAAGCAGTTCATTGACATACATACAAACGTACAGAAAATTTATTAATTCAGGATTATTATAATTTTTATCTCTATATCTCTTTCTATAAACCTTTGAAGTTATTGAAATTGATAATATTTTTTAGGCAAGACAGATTCCCAGCGAAAAAGTAAAAAAAAAACAAACAGTCAATGAATGTATGTTGATTTTAATTACATCAAGTTCTTCAAATACAATTATTACATGATGAGTGAAGTTGCGCAAACAATATTTGTTCAGGCGTTGTTTAACACAATTCACCCTGTGAACGAATATTATAGAATTTATTAATCAGCAATTACTTCATTTCTCTAATGGAGGTTCATTTCTAATTGCTAATTACAATGACAAACCGATCATGTCATATTTGAAGTATGTCTTAAATTACATTATTGTTTTTAAATATTATACATATTTTTAATGCCATTATAAATATATAATTTATAATTTATCATTATATAAATGTGTATAATGGTTGACACTAATAAATGTGTGCATCACGAGTGTTACCATACTAATAAACATTATTCAAAATTGTTATATGACGTATTTATTTTCACTTGAATGCCATCTTGTACAGTAGCAAATAAGTTTTACTTCAATCGCGTTTTTTACTCTTTTTTTATTTTTCTACTATTATTATCTAATAATTTATATTTTCCTCACTTTGCCTAGATATCTCTACATCGGGTATGACCGGAGCCAGTGACGCCGCCACCTGGCAGATCATCGCCGACAGGCAGGGCGTTTGCGTCGATTCGTTCCCGGAGTCAACCGGATAAAATGCAGGCAGTGGCGGCGGCGGAGGCATCTGCATGATGCTGTCCGGGGGAGGGCCGCCCTCCACGCACTCGCCGAAGCAGGCCATGGTACTAAAGTCGAAGACTGATGTCTGATGTCCTCAGAGGACCTGGGGAAAAGGTAAGATAAATAGATAAATAATTATTGTGAATTAGATTTATTGTTGTATGCAAAATATTGTTGCAAAAATAGGTTCTTTATTGAGTTCTAAAGATTTTTCCAGAATTGTTATCTTATATATAAAAATGGAGCTGTCTTTCAAATGTCCAAGTAAAAATCGAAAACGGCTGAATCGATTTGGTCAAAATTAGTCTTGAAAAATTCGTGCCAATCCAGAGAAGGTCCAAAAGGTGAGAAATTATTTCAAATCCTCGTAGAAACTTTACATTTTTAATTTGAAATTTTTTGTAGAAGCGTAATTTAAATAAAACAATGGACGGTGGCTAACACGTGAAATGTCAAACGATTTTGACAGATGATGTTCAATTACATTTAATAGGATGTTTTACGTGAATATTTACGACAATATAAGTCGAAAGACAAAAAAAAACTTGTATTGGATTATACCAAGTTTTCTATAGAAAGTATATAAAACTTCCAGTTTGATTGTATTGACAAAATATCGGTAATCTTTGAAAATCCATAATAAAAGCATTTTCTTCCGTTAGTAGTTTTTTAGCATTAGTTAAAAATGTAATTATTTTGTAAAATACCTTTAAATTAAAATAAGGTTTTAAACGTATTTGCCACCTGACCGTCCAAGTTACCCCGCCTATAGGGTAAAAAGGTGTCGATAACGAATTTTTGAAAGACATCAAAAAAATACATTTCTACAATGATGAAGTAGCTGGCAATTTTACTGAACGTAGTCAGATAATTGTTCGTTAATTCATCGAATGTTACTTGAAACTTCGTAACTTAAAAATTTCCAAAAAAAAAAAAAAATTGAAAGAAAAATCAGAACAATTCTTTTCCCAAAAGCAATTATTTTGTTAAAACAAGCAGAAAGTTCTTTGAATCATTCGAATCGGACACTTAGTTCTCTCAAGAACTGCCATTTTTTGTACATTTAGCTCTATCGGAATATCTGAATATCTGAATATCTGAATATCTGAATATTTGAATATCTGAATATCTGAATATTTGAATATCTGAATATCTGAATGTCTGAATATCTGAATATCTGAATATCTGAATATCTGAATATCTGAATATCTGAATATCTGAATATCTGAATATCTGGATATCTGAATATCTGAATATCTGAATATCTGAATATCTGAATATCTGAATATTTGAACATCTGAACATCTGAATATCTGAACATCTGAACATCTGAATATCTGAATATCTGAATATCTGAATATCTGAATATCTGAATATCTGAATATCTTAATATCTGAATATCTGAATATCTGAATATCTGAATATCTGAATATCCGAATATCCGAATATCCGAATATCCGAATATCCGAATATTCGAATATCCGAATATCCGAATATCCGAATATCCGAATATCCGAATATCCGAATATCCGAATATCCGAATATCCGAATATCCGAATATCCGAATATCCGAATATCCGAATATCCAAATATCCGAATATCCGAATATCCGAATATCCGAATATCCGAATATCCGAATATCCGAATATCCGAATATCCGGAAATCCGAATATCCGGAAATCCGAATATCCGAATATCCGAATATCCGAATATCCAAATATCCGAATATCCGAATATCCGAATATCCGAATATCCGAATATCCGAATATTCGAATATCCGAATATCCGAATATCCGAATATCCGAATATCCGAATATCCGAATATCCGAATATCCGAATATCCGAATATCCGAATATCCGAATATCCGAATATCCGAATATCCGAATATCCGAATATCCGAATATCCGAAATCCGAATATCCGAAATCCGAATATCCGAATATCCGAATATCTTCGAATATCCGAATATCCGAATATCCGAATATCCGAATATCCGAATATCCGAATATCCGAATATCCGGAAATCCGAATATCCGAAATCCGAATATCCGAATATCCGAATATCCGAATATCCGAATATCCGAATATCCGAATATCCGAATATCCGAATATCCGAATATCGGAATATCCGAATATCCGAATATCCGAATCCGAATATCCGAATATCCGAATATCCGAATATCCGAAAGAATATCCGAATATCCGAATATCCGGAAATCCGAATATCCGGAAATCCGAATATCCGAATATCCGAATATCCGAATATCCGAATATCCGAATATCCGAATATCCGAATATCCGAATATCCGAATATCCGAATATCCGAATATCCGAATATCCGAATATCCGAATATCCGAATATCCGAATATCCGAATATCCGAATATCCGAATATCCGAATATCCGAATATCCGAATATCCGAATATCCGAATATCCGAATATCCGAATATCCGAATATCCGAATATCCGAATATCCGGAAATCCGAATATCCGGAAATCCGAATATCCGAATATCCGAATATCCGAATATCCGAATATCCGAATATCCGAATATCCGAATATCCGAATATCCGAATATCCGAAATCCGAATATCCGAATATCCGAATATCCGAATATCCGAATATCCGAATATCCGAATATCCGAATATCCGAATATCCGATATCCGAATATCCGAATATCCGAATATCCGAATATCCGAATATCCGAATATCCGAATATCCGAATATCCGAATATCCGAATATCCGAATATCCGAATATCCGAATATTCCGAATATATCCGAATATCCGAATATCCGATATATCCGAATATCCGAATATCCGAATATCCGAATATCCGAAATCCGAATATCCGAATATCCGAATATCCGAATATCCGAATATCCGAATATCCGAATATCCGAATATCCGATATCCGAATATCCGAATATCCGAATATCCGAATATCCGAATATCCGAATATCCGAATATCCGAATATCCGAATATCCGAAATATCCGAATATCCGAATATCCGAATATCCGAATATCCGAATATCCGAATATCCGAATATCCGAATATCCGAATATCCGAATATCCGAATATCCGAATATCCGAATATCCGAATATCCGAATATCCGAATATCCGATATCCGAATATCCGAATATCCGAATATCCGAATATCCGAATCCGAATATCCGAAATCCGAATATCCGAATATCCGAATATCCGAATATCCGAATATCCGAATATCCGAATATCCGAATATCCGAATATCCGAATCCTATCCGAATATCCGAATATCCGAATATCCGAAATCCGAATATCCGAATATCCGAATATCCGAATATCCGAATATCCGAATAATCCGAATATCCGAATATCCGGAATCCGAATATCCGGAATCCGAATATCCGAATATCCGATATCCGAATATTCGAATATCCGAATATCCGAATATCCGAATATCCGAATTAATCCGAATATCCGAATATCCGAATATCCGAATATCCGAATATCCGAATCCGAATATCCGAATATCCGAATATCCGGAAATCCGAATATCCGAATATCCGAATATCCGAATATCCGAATATCCGAATATCCGAATATCCGAATATCCGAATATCCGAATATCCGAAATATCCGAATATCCGGAATCCGAATATCCGGAAATCCGAATATCCGAATATCCGAATATCCCGAATATCCGAAGAATCCGAATATCCGAATATCCGAATATCCGAATATCCGAATATCCGAATATCCGAATATCCGACCGAATATCCGAATATCCGAATATCCGAAATATCCGAATATCCGAATATCCGAATACCTCAATATCGAATCCGAATATCCGACTATCCGAATAATCCGAATATCCGAATATCCGAAATCGAATATCCGAATATCCGAATATCCGATCCGAATATCCGAATAATCCGAATATCCGAATATCCGAATATATCTAATATCCGAATTCGAATATATCCGAATATCCGAATATCCGAATATCCGAATATCCGAATATCCGAATATCCGAATATCCGAATATCCGGAAATCCGAATATCCGAAATCCCGAATATCCGAATATCCGAATATCCGAATATCCGAATATCCGAATATCCGAATATCCGAATATCCGAATATCCGAATATCCGAATATCCGAATATCCGAATCCGATCCGAATATCCGAATATCCGGAATATCCGAATATCCGAATATCCGAATATCCGAATATCCGAATATCCGAAGAATCCGAATATCCGAATATCCGAATATCCGAATATCCGAATATCCGAATATCCGAATATCCGATATCCGAATATCCGAATATCCGAATATTCGAATATCCGAATATCCGAATATCC